GTTACACTTTTCCTTTCTTATTTCTAAGACCCTGCCTCCTTTGGTTCCATCTTGGCCATAACCTCAGACCCATTTCTAGTTTAAGCCTCACTCTCTGCACCAAGGCTGGTCCCTGTGTCCTTCCAGCTCCAAGTGTTGCTGCTTCTATAGGGATAGCACGGAAGGGTATGAAAATCCAGAACTATGAAGAAAGCACGTGGGGTCCAAGGTCTCCCTTGTTCTCCCCCTACCCTGACTGCCCAAAACCTGAGACAGGGATAGAGAAGCCATGTGTTATCTTTTTTTTTTTAATTAGTTTAGCATCTTAGGAATCTTCAAAGCTAAAATAAACAATAGATAACCTTAGGTGAGTCTGGTGAACTGAACTTGAACTACTTTAACTCTTGAAATGCTTTAACTCTTAGGAATGGTTGAGAAACTTTTAACTGGTCATCGTTATTCATAAATTAGCACTTGGTAGATGTACAAGCATCTGTTTTTGTCTCACCTGAGCTGGACGATTGTTTTTGTTTTTATTTTAGGATAATTAATAGGTTCACAGAAAGTTTCAAAATTAACACAGAGACCCCATACAGTCTTCTCTTAAAAGCCCTCAATGTTATATAACTGTAGTAATCTTACATAACTATAGTGCAATTTCAGAACCTTAACATTGACATGTGTGCACAATCCTTTGTCATTTTATCATATGAAGATTTATGTAACCACCACTACTAACAACATACACAATTTTTAAAAAGTTACCACAAAGGCCTCTCTTAGGCTGCCATGCTATAGTCATCCTCACACCCTTTATTATCCCTGAGCCATCATCATCCCTAACCTTTGGCAACCACTCATCTGTTTTGCTTTTGTATCATGTTGTCATTTAGAAAGTGTTCTGTGAATTGAATCATAGGATATGTGACCTTTGGAGTTAGGTATTTTTACCCGGAATAATGCCATGAAGACACATCCAAGTTGTTGCATGTATCAACAGTTATGTTCCTTTTTATTGATGAGTAGGATAACAGGTGTGGGCATGCCAGAGTTCACTTAGCCACTTACCTATCCACGGATACTTCCAGTGACATAATTTTACTTGATACTTACATTTGCTGTAATTATTAATGCAAATAATTAATTATTAATTGTTAAAGTATAAATCTGTATATTTCTTGTTATCTTTCTTCTCTTTATGTCTGTGCATTGCTAAAAGATTTGTTAAAATGTATAGGATTTCAAAATGTATTTCTTTGTCTGAGTTGTTTTTGTAAATTTTAGTTGCTAAAGATGTTGTATTATATATCTGTAACATCACAAGCTACTAATGTTGACATGTTACCAGTTTGAGTGAAATGTAAAGACCATAAGTCTTTTAATTTTGAAAGTCTTCTTTTAAACCTTTAATCATGTATAACATATATCATTTTCTAAAATATTTTCTCTATATACATAAAAAAATAAAATAAACATTCCCCAAAGTCATCTTCATACATATATCATCTTAAAGTTAAAGGGAGACAAAGTGATTTTGAGAAGGGAGTCAGTGACTTGGCTAGCACCAAAGCAACATGGGCTTCCAGAATGTTCTCCTTGCTACTCTCTTTCTTCTCCTAACTGAAGACTTTTCTTCTTCATAGTTGTTTATTCTTGTTAGTAGATTGTCTTCAAATTTTTGCCTTTTAGCTACGCTAGGGAGACAACTGACGAGCGTACAGGCAAGCGTATCCTGGGAATGGAGACACAAAAGGCTGAGGCAATTACTCCAGGTCAAGGACACAAAACACAGCAAGGACAGGGTCACACAAGTTCACCTAGGTCATGCCAGGTTGTCAGAGAGGGTCATGACTGGGTTAGTGTGAACAGGGGTTTTGTCCTATCTGAGGAAAGTAATACCCCATGGTTTTCCTCTTAAGTGTTTTTGGGCTTAATACAATTTTCAGGAAGTAAAGGTAATAATGGTATTTTAGATTATGAAGGAACATCAATATCAAACTTATTCTTTGACAGAAAATGAGATAAAATACGGAAGTTGACTCCTGTCTGATCCCTCTCTCCAGTTCTAGCTTTACCCTACAGTTTCTAGGCTAACAAAGTATATAAGACAACTGTATTCTGTTTTAAACTAGAGTCCCCTGACTATTTATCTCTTAATTCTGGTGAAGTTAAATGCACTTAAAACCCCTTCTAAGTCTGTAAGACTGAAGGTATAATACAGATATGAAAACAAAAATAGAAAACAAATGCCACCTTGCATGCCAGCTGTTCAGTTGGGAGAATCTGTGAGACTGGACAGATTTTGAGGACAAGACCAGGAACAGTGAGGGCTGTGCTGTGATGGGAAGTAGGAGTGGGTCAGAGGGGCATACCCACAGTCTCTGTTTTTCTTAATTCCTGTTCTCTGGTCATCCTTTGACTATGCAGGAAATACTAACTCTGAAGTAGTGTCTCCAGGGGGAGGGATGAAAGTGAGCAGAATCCAAATACCTAGCATGTGCCCTCTGTTTGGATCCCATAACCCTCATGGATTCTGTGCTTCTTGAGCCTGAGATGAAGTAGTTAAAATAGCGAGAAGGCTGCCTTAGAGACATTCTTAAGCCCCAGCACACTGGCAGTCACTCCTGAGCCGGTAGCATGACAGCACATCGAGTCCTTCTCAGGCAGGAGTGCGCTAGTAAATAATTTGGGGCAATCAGTGAAGGGAGAAACATAGAGAGTGATATGTAATGCTGACGAGGATGCAGTGAGACAAGTTCGCTAACACAGTGCAGGTGGACACATAAATGTGTGCAAATGTTTTTAAGCTGCTTGACAGCTTGTATCAAAATTATTTTTAAAACATATCTGTTCTACAATATTTACACAATGATGCAATGCCATGGAAATAAGGCAAACTATTTAAAAAAAAAACTTAATCATAAAGCTTTCATCACAAAACAGTTTCCACTAGGAAATACTGGATACAACTTAAATGTCTAATGGTAACTTAGAATTGTGTAGATCCATGTTAAACTCTCTTGCAGATGTTTTAAATTATGGTTACTAAGAACATGTAGCAACATGGATTTCAAAACAAGATAAAAATGACATGAAAACTATAATTTTAACTACATAAAATATACAAAGGAAAGGATGCAAAAAATAATTTTTAAGAATAAAAATATACAGAGAAAGGTTAACTGTAAGGAAATCTGTCGCTATTGTACTTGCTTACACTGTAGAGTGGTAGATACTTTCAACTATTATGGTTTTGTAATTTATATGTGGGAAAACATTTAAAAAGAAAACTAAAAAGGGAAATCTTAAACTATTATCTTTAGCAATTTTGAAGTGTGATAAATTGCATTACAAAAACATAAGCAGTGAAGATATGAAACGTCTTGTCTGCTATGCTTTATGATGTGAAAAAAATAAGCTATTCCCACTGAGTTAATACATGGCTCTCATTGCTTCTCCACTGAGCACTATACATCTTGCCTGCCTACCTTGAGCCTTTTCTTCTGGGCAGTATGAAAGTATGAGTGAGTGATACAGAGGTCAGAGAAAGTTCTCAGCTATTGGGAGAATTGGCGCCGTCATGGCCCTTTCTGCCAGAGCATCTAGTGTGACTAGGGACACATTCCAATGTAGCATTTCAGCTTTGAGATGCACTGCTTTCTACTTCTGTCTTTTTGCGTGCTGTCTGCTCTAAAGGCACATCTGTCCTTGCAGTTAGTGTCAGGCCATTCCTACCTCAACCACTGAAGGAACCAAAGCTTAGCAAGAGGCCCAAGGAGATGATAGTAAGCCACAGAGCTGCCCTGGATTATATTCCAGAATCTCTGGATTTTGCCAGTGCCAGGCCAGCTCTACACCTCTCTGCCCTGATTTCCTAACTTCCTCAGACAGTGATGTTCTGCCTTGTCCGCTTTCAGCTGGTCTTTCCTGCACAGGGCAAGTCAGGCTTCCCCCCAGAGGGCACAGTGGTAGCTAGCACCTACCACAGCGTCTGGTGAGGTATTTATTCATGGCTGCATCAACCCATGCCTGGGCCTATTCTTTTTTTATTCCCACAAGGGTCTAACAAGGCACTGAACATTATAGGATGGGTGTGCATCTTTACTCACAGCTAGTGAGAGCTTGCAGTTTTTATCTAGAAAGTACCTAGAACAACTTATGCAACCTCAGATAAAAGTTAAGGTTTAATTATCATGGATGACCTGTAATGGATTGGTTCTAGGGACCACCTCGCCTCCCATCTGTGATGCTCAAGATCCTTATATTAAATGGCAGAGTATTAACATATAACCTAGGCACATCCTCTCATTTATTTTAAATCACCTCTAGATTACATAATGCAATGTAAATGCTATAAAAACAGTTGTTATACTTGATTGCTAGGGAATAAATAACAAGAAAAAAGTCTGTACATGTTCAGTACAGATGCAGCCATCATAGGCCTAACTACATAGGCAGTGTTTTCCCTCTGAGGTTGGTTGTATCTGTGCATGTGGAACCCTCAGATACCGAGGACTGACATCAGCTTTGAATCCAAGAGTTTACCTGGCAATACTTAGTGATCTTATCTGCCCATTTCTGCGACTTAATTTTGTCCTCTTCCCAAGACCAAATGCCCTCTCATGCATCAGCATGCTATCAGATTCCTGACTCGGGGAGCCCTGACCCAAAGCGTTTTCTTAGAACAAGCTGCATGTTGGTGAGCTGGTGGTTGGCCCTGGAATCTGTGCTAATGAGACCCAAGTGTGCTGGCAGCATTAGCTATAGGGAGAAGAGTACTGAGGCAGAATTGAAATTTGCTTGAATGTATGGCTGTGTATATGCAGAGCAGAAAGAAAATTGCAGAATGGCAAGAAACTAAACACCCTCCGTCAACAAAATCACAAGCCGAGGAAGAAGGGAGAGGTATTTTATGTGCCTGACTGGAAGGACTATTGCAGTAATGGGAATTTTTCAGTTTCCTGTGGATGTAGCCCACTGCCATCTTCCCTCCCTTCCTGCTTTAGGGTCAGGGTCCCAGGTCACCTCCATTCTTCCTGAGACTCCTTGGCCATGGAATTGGGTGAAGCCAAATTGGAAAAGATGGGTTTTCTCGGTGTCACTGCGGCCATGCTCTTGATTTTGTTCAGCCTGTCCCGGGATTGCTGGCATTTTTTCAGACAAGGTCCACACAGATCCTTCTCCTCCACCAGATATAAGTTCTCCAACCGCTTGATGGAATCTAAGAACTCAGTTGACTCCTCTGCCTTGGGAAAGGGGTTTCGCTTTACATTGAGCTTTTTCAGCTTGGGGAGCTTGGAGATGCTATTTGGGATGGTGTTCAGCAGGTTATCATTAAGTCCCACCTCGTGGAGCTCCTTCAGAGCACCGAGTGTGGTCGGCACGCTATCCAGGTGGTTCAAACCCAAGTTCACAGTGCGGATATTCTTGAGTTGGTTGAGCTCCACTGGCAGCCCGTTGGTGGTTAGCCTGTTGTTGCTGACATTGAGGTAGAGCAGAGAGGTCATCTGGCCAATGGACTCAGGAAGCCTGTCTATGTAGTTGCTGTGCAGGTCCAGCCAACGCAGGTTCTGGAACTTGGATATTGCATCAGGGATTTTCCTGATCAAATTCCGGCTTAGATCAAGTTCATCCACATCGTTGAGTCTCAGAATACATTTGGGGAAGGTGGTGATTCCCATCTTGCTCAAGTCAAGGCGTTTTTTCCCATCAAATGTGATTTTGATACAATTCTTGGCCACTTTGAGGGTGATCTTCTTGCCCTTGGGGCCTGTCCCGCCCTTGCCCATATTCTTTTAGTATGTCTAGGAGGGTGTTTGAGGTATGTTGTGTTGATTGGGTGGTGATACGTTAGAGGAAAAAAAATCACAAGAGACTGCTAGAAGATATACTCTGATAAGAGGAGAAAAAAATATCTAGTTAGGAGGTGACCGGAGATTGTTGCACTGCTATTCCTCCCCCATAGCATAATATTCTGTTCTCTAATGGTATAAAAAGAGAGAGAAGAATTCAGGGAATCGACAGAAGTAACCCAATCGTAACTCTTCAGTAAATTGGATGTCCTCTTTAGGCCTTGTTGCTCTCAGATATGAAATGAGAGGAGCAGGGTGGGCTTGAGGATGCACAGCACCCCTCTGGCTATGCTGTCCCCTAACATGAATCACTCCATTGTCCTGGACTTTCACATATATCCTAGCCCCACCCCATCCCCCAATTATATCTGCCACTTTCTAGACCCTCACATAATCCAGTGTTCCCTTAGCGTTATTTATCACCGAAGTTCCTAGTCTAAATCTAAAATTTATATTAAAATCAGATCCAAATACAGATCCAAAACAATTTTGAAAAGGCAGAAGTTTGAGAACTATTGCTTTCCAGTTCTAATCATAATTTCCAAAATCCAAAAAGAAAACAAACTGATGTCATCTAGTGGGTGGATAAAGAAGTTGTATCATCCTTACAATGTTAGGATTTACTTAATTGTGAAGAGGACAGGTCTACTGATATACACAACAAGTTGGATGAATCTCAAAAGCCTTTTGCTGAATTAAAGAAGCCAACCTCAAGATCTAAGGAATCTCAAAAATAAGGAAATAATTCCATGTGTATGGTTTCCTGGAAAAGTCACAACAATAGGCACAGAAAACAGATGAGTGCCAGGGGCTAGTAGTGGGGAGCTTTGACTTTGGGGAGCAGCAGGATTAAGTTCTCCAGGGGGCAGGACCTACCTATATCCTGACTGGTTATGGTTACATGAAAATGTATCTGTTAGAGTTCAGAAAAGTATACACACACAATGTGGATTTTTAATTTTAAAATTGTAGGGATGTCATATTCTATTTCTGTTGTTTTCACCCAGTAATGTTGCCACTCACAGCAAATAAAATTACAAGACACCCAGTATGAGCTTCATAGAAACAATGATAGTGTTGAGGATACATACATCCCAAACGCTGCAAAATTTAGTATTTTCCTTGTCAGCTCAATCCCATGGGATGGGACAAAGAGTAAAGTCTCCTTTGCCCATGATCCTTATGAGTCCTTTCAACTAATTTAAGCTAAATAGATGTGCTTAATTGTGCACTCGCATTTGTCCACTGTTGGGTAAGTATATTGAGAGCCTACTATGTGCCAAGCCTTCGGGCTACCCTGGGAAGTAATAAGCAACACTGGTCCTCCAGCTTCCGGAGTTAAAATCTAGATTGTCATGGGTTTGGGCCACCAGGTTCCCCTCATCCGTGCATCCTACAGCCTATTCTGTCTTTCTTTCACATTTGTTATATTAGATAAAGTTCAATTCAGAGAGGTCACAAGTACTACTCATGGGTCAACGGGGCCCTGAATGGTAAGGGATGCTTCCAGTGCACTGGAAATACAGCCAGTGGGGCCCTGAGCCTCCCCAGCACCCACTCGCACCATGGTAAGAAGGCCTCCCAACTCTCATGAATGGCGAGAAAGAAGTAGCATGGCACCGTCGACAGAGAACTGCTCTACTAAGGAGCGGCTCTTCAATAAGGCCATCAGCTCTAGGTTTGCTCATTTATCACCTGCAAGGTAAAGTCAGACTGGCTGGGCTAATCCCTTCTATCTTCTCAGAGCCCCCCGGGCAACCTGAGGCCAGCTGGAGCATGATCTGCCCCCACCCCTTCCTGATTCCCCTCAGGGCTGCTACTGTATCTGGTGGGGACCCTGGGCTCTTGGGGGACACTTGCCCCTGGCGGTTGAAACCCTCTTTCCTGTGGGCAGAAAGGCACAGTGTGCTGTGTTGCTCAAAGCTAATCCAGACACCCTTAACTGCTGAACACCACTAGATGCAGATAAATGACAGGAACCCCCAAACCAGAGATAGTTCTCATTCCACTCTATATGGCCAGCATCCTGCCCAGGCTTGCCCACTGAAGAAGAGAGAACATGTTAGCAAAAGAAGTATGAAACTGATGATCTTATGATACAACTAAAACTGGCAGTTGGCCTGTTAGAATCAATTCATGGAATCCTCAAGTATTGAGGAGAATCAGTCCACACAAGGGAGTTGGCAATTACAAAGGGAGAGATGTGGGTAGATTGATTTATCAGTAGATAATAGATGGAAAAGATAGATGATAGATAGATAGATAGATAGATAGATAGATAGATAGATAGATAGATAGATAGATAGATAGGCAAATGGATGCATAGATGGAAAATAGATTTTCTTTCATGTGAGCAGAAATGTACTGTCCTGTCTTGTGTTTGTATGCTTTGAAAACTCTGGACCAGTTGGTTTGACTTTAATTTCTAATTAATTTTTCTATCTAGTCATTGTGAATCAAACAGCATGGTGGGACACCCCATGGATATCCAAATTAAAAATGTAATGGCAATGTATATTTTAATGCCAACATAATATTTGTGAACATTTTCAGTTGTAAGATTGCTATCCCCACTATGATAATTGAATTTATCTGGTACTTCACAACCATGTATCTTAAACTGTGGACTGTGTATATATCCAGTATCTCTAAACATCTTGCTAATGTGATCTCACAATTCTTACTTCACTCTTTTGATTGATGCATTGAGATTCAGGATTAAGACATTCCAAAATTGAAATTCTGAAAATCACTGCCATTTCACAATCAGAATTTGGGACTAACTTCACAGATAATTTCCATGCCATAAAGATGAGAAATATGTTTTGCTCATAGATGGCTGTTTAAGGAATGTGATGCAACCTTCCCTCCACAAAGTCACTCATTCAAAAGGCATTGCATTTATTCGTCCTCTCCACCCTCATGAGACCCACACATTAGGCTTGGAACAGACTGGCCTCTCCTCTGCGGTGACCTCACATCACTCCCATGCCCTCAACCCTGTCCTAGAACAAGTGCACCTTCACATGAGAAGCCATGTGGACACAAAGGTGGTTACCATGGGCCATCTGTGGAGGTATCAAGCCCCTAAAATAGGCACTAATGTTTGAACCAGGTGTAGTTTGCACTGGAAGATATGCTATTCGTCATGTCCACTCCAGACTAGGAACTGCATATTCTGCTACTTGCTTCATTGTTATCTCCTTTGGGGAGTATAGATGAATTGGGGGTAGAATCATGAGTGCTTTTATTTTTCTACTAATGCCCCCAGCTGTGTTGTGTTGAGTCCCTCTTTCTTGTGGCAGAAGGACAGATTTCTAGAAGACAAAAGACTAGAGGCAGAGAAACTTGTGGTGTTTAAAGCAATAGCGCCACTGACCACTTGGCAGAGGTGGTAAAGATGGGCAAAAGAGACATGTAGACAGTAAGAGTGGAGTCTTATAGGGACCTGATGACTTTGGGGAGTAGGGTTGACCTCACATGCATTCATCAAGGTAATTCTTGCAAACATGCTACTTGGCTTTCCATGTATCTCTAATTTTCAGAGACACTTTGCAAAGTGGCATTCTTATTGTTAAAATCAGACAACTGAAGCTCAGAGAAATGAATTTACTTCCCCAAGCTCACACAGACAACACAGAGCACAATGAAAGTATAACTGTGATGTGCCTGATGTTCTTTTTATGAAACTATGCTGGACCCCACTCCATGACTTGGCTCCAGGAGTAGGGAAAGCCTCATTCTTGGAGCACTCTGCTGGCCCCCACTGATTCCAAAGAGCATATGGTATTCTGAAATCCTAGCACTCCGGGGTGAAAGCCATCTCAGCAACAGAAAACTAGGACCATTTCCCCTGTGACCTCAGGTGGTATGTTGTCCTCTTGGTCACCTCGGAGCTCTCTGGCATTCAAACAAAGGAGTGTCAGAGTTCTCAGTCCCTGGGTGGCCAGACTGGCTCAGGTCCATTCCACTGGGTATGGGTTTCCCAGGGAGCTTCACTTGATGCTCAGCATGGGCAGCTGAAGGGAGTGACTTGAGCATTTCTGCTCAAGTCACTGGCTAAGGCAATGGATGGAGGACGAGGGGCAGGAGATGCAGTTATTGGCCGTAGTCCCTGCAGGGGTCAGGCATGTACATCTTCCCCCAACCTTCTGGAGGGACAATACATGACCAGGGTCTGAAGACAGGATTTCAGCTCCGCCCACCCATTGCCCAGGGGTCAATAAGTAGGGTGCTTGTTTTCATAGATAGACACATATCTATTTATTTATATATGCATGTATATACACACATTATGTAAGTAGTGTGAATTTTAAATACTTATCTGTAGCATTAATGGAATTATTTAACTAGGAGTTTAGAGATTAGCAGAATGTGTGTTAGAGACAGAGACAGGGAGACTTAAAGGGTACAAATGTGATCAACCAGTTCACCTAATAGGCGTGCGCCCCCAAGTGGCCTGGATGGAGACAGGACTCTGTTCCTCCCCCTGTCCAGTGCCCATTGCCCTTCCTGCCACAGTGAGATCCAGGTTTGGGCTTCTGTTTGTTTATTTTTAAGAGACCCACGTTTTGCCTCCAGCATGTCCCTGCAACATTAGCCCCCTGTATTCTGGGTGTTGATCAGAGGAGGGGCCAAGCAGCCCCTTTTCTGCCCTGGGATACTGCCCGAGGCTACCACAAGTTTGGGCACTCTATAGGCACACTTTAAAATTTAAGCCTTGTAAGAGGCACTTTCTTTCCTCCAAAAAATAGCCTCCTCTGTTAGCCAGTCTGTGCTTCTGTCCACCCCGACCACACGTTCCTTACATAGACCTCCAGACGCCTTCTACCCTCTAGTCTCCCATTTGCCACTTCCTTTAGTCTTCCTCCCATTTGCCACTTCCTTTAGTCTTCGCACCTCTTCTTCACTGAGATTAAATTGGGGAGGGCCCTGGG